TAATTCTGCCCTCATACTCCTGTTTTGTACTTTCTTGGAGCAAGCCATTTAAACTGAGATCTCTACCACACCTGCAGAATCAGGGCCAATGCTTTGTCAGGTAGAAATGTCAATTCTCAATTATTCCCCACTGGTCTAGACAGGAGTACTGTGAGAGTGACTAACCGGCATTCAACGCAACTTGTTTTTGTTGAGTGCCTCCTCCGAAGAGGTGTGTGGGATGTGACACTTGGGTCACGGTTGGGGAGATGAAGCTGCAGTATGGCTGAGAATTCAAATCCAACTAATATTTCTTTTTCGAACTGCTGCTCTTGAGGAAGGCGTTTTCCCAGCCTGTCCTTTGCTTTCCTCCAGCCTCCATCTGCCTGGGATGCCTTTTCTCCCACAGCCCGGGCCTCTGTGGGACCTGCTTCCTTTCTCACTCCTGCAGTCCATTTCCTGTAGGGCAGCTGCCTGGATGCCCTTAAACCCAAAGGCTCAACCACCTTTCTACCTGCATCTCCTATCATAGCTACACTCACTCACTGTGCTCTGGTCTTTTCTTTTTCCTAAACACTTCCAGTCTTTTCCCCCTCTAACCTTTGCTCTTCGTCTTCCCTCTGGAGGTAATATTAAGGCTGGCTCCTCATCCTTCAAGTCTCTGCTCAATTCTATTTCCTCAGGAGTCCTTCCCTGACCATCTTAAGCCAACTAGGCCACCCCTGTCACCCTCTCCTTACTGACAGCTATTCAGTTCCATTTCCCTGTGTTATCTTCTTCATGACCCTGCTCTCTCTCTCTCTCAGATATTTCCATTGCTTCATTTACTTATTTATTATTTGCCTCCTTCCATGAACATGTAAACGCCATAAGAGCAGGGACTTTTTTTGCTACACCCACAACTGTATCCTTGGAGTCTGATAAACCCAGATGCTCAAATATTTGTTAAATATTGTAGAATCTGTTGGACTCTATTTAAAACAAAGAAGTTAAAATCATGGGCCTAGGTGGCCACAGTGGCTCACGCCTCTAATCCCAGCACTTTGGGAGCCCAAAGTGGGCAGATCACCTGCGGTCAGGAGTTCAAAACCATCCTGGCCAACATGGCGAAACCCCATCTCTACTAAACTTATAAAAAAAATTAGCCCAGTGTGGTGGCGGGCACCTGTAGTCCCAACTACTTGGGAGGCTGAGGCATGAGAATCGCTTGAACCAGGGAGGCGGAGGTCACAGTGAGCCAAGATCACGCCACCGGACTCCAGCCTGGGCGACAGAGTGAGACTCCATCTCAAACAAACAAACAAAATGAAAAGCATGTGCCTGGAAGTAAAGTGGTCTTGTGTGATCTTTCCTTCCACCAGCTGGGAGAAGCCGTGGCCTCTCTAACCTTTCTTCTCCTTTATAAAAGAATCAAGAGCTCACTCCATGGGAGTTATTATTAATTTTAGGGTTGTGTTTCCCCCATGAGCTCAGGACCCTGTTGGCAGGCACTTTGTCATTAATCTCTGTATCCACTGTGCCTTGAAACATCACCTTACTGCCCCAGCCTCCTCTATTTCTTATTGCAGAACATGTCACAGTGTCCCAAAGAGTCTATTTACTTCTGTCTCCTCCAATATGGTGACTACCTGGGGACATGAACATCTAAGAAACCTAGCACGGTGCCCATTGTAGAACTGGATGCACAGCGATTAAGACTAGTAGGCACCTAGTATGTCTTCATGAAATGTATTTTGAACCAAGTCCTCTTTAGAAAAGACATGAATAGATACATTAATTAGAATATGAATTTTAATACCTGAATTAGAGAATAATACCAGATAGTATATGATCATGTGCTGAGTTACACATATTCAGGTAATAAAAAGTGTAGTACAGATATTGGATGGCAAAGGTGGCCAACAGGGAGCTTCCTGGACCAGGCAAGGGACCTAGGTAGGTGAGGTATGGGGGATGGGAACTGGATCCAACTGGAGATTGTATTTCACCTGCAAGGTAACTACCACTTCTCTCCAGCAATTTGTTGCCATCCTGGAACGTGGGTCTGATTGTCTCATATCTTTATTTTATTTTATTTAGAGATAGAGTCTCACTCTGTTGCCCAGACTGGAGTGCAGGGGCGCGATCTCGGCTCACTGCAACCTCTGCCTCCCGGGTTCAAGCGATTCTCCTGCCTCAGCCTCCCAAACAGCTGGAATTACAGGTACGCCCCACCACGCCTGGCTACTAATTTTGTATTTTTAGTAGAGATGGGGTTCGCCATGTTGGCCAGGCTGGTCTCGAACTCCTGACCTCAAGAGATCCACCCGCTTTGACCTCCCAAAGTGCTGGGATTACAGGCATGAGTCACCACGCCAAGTCCCATATCTTTATAGATTTTTCAAATGAAACTGGAAATGTGAATATTTTAATGATATCTCCCAAGTTTTCAAATTGTTGACAAGCTTAAATTTATTAAACAACTATTTGAGATGAACAAAGCATGTTTGAGAGCCAGGTTGTAATCTCTGACCAAGTATTCTAGGTGACAAGATGGATGTTGAACCCTCCACAGGCATTAATGGAAGAATCTACACTAGAGGCCAGCTATCAAAAGGCAACATTTCTTCACTCACTCACTCATTTACTGCCCCATAAAACCAGGAAGCAATTCTTGACCTATGGCCAAATTTTCCCCTAAGGCATCCATCAAGCATTTATTGAGTACCCACTCAGTTCCAGGCATTCAGATATAAATTGGATCAGGGCTTGTTCCCTCTGAGACTTTATAGTTGGTCAGTTCAAGATATGTTGTTGAGTCACTATTGTGCACCTGAGAACAGCTCAAGACAAAAGGAGACACACCTAGACAGCCAGGCATTGCTTCCTCACCCACCAGATCTCTGACCTAGAGTGCCCGCAGCAAACTGTCAAACTACTGTGTCCTCTCAGCTCAATTCTTCCATTCCCAGCCATCCCAGTAGCACCTAGGAGCAAAGTGGCCTCCCAGATCAGACAGTAGCAGAGGTCTCCCAATCTGATGAACATGGGATGACCAGCCATAATCTCTATAAGCCTAACTCTTGTCTATAATATGGTGATCATATGATGGCAACAAATATCACTTAGATAACAGCAGCCCCCACACCATTTGCTATCAAAAGGACTGGGGTGTGGTGGACTCATTCAGTCACATGTGCCTGAGGCCAGCCAGCCGGAAATTATTGAAACAGAATCTCACAGCACACAGTAGTCTCACGTTGATCTAACTTATACTGTGATCTCGGACTTGCTGAAGGACTAATTTCTATCACAGCCCTGCCAATATTGATTGCTTGGACTCAAAATTACATAAGTAGATTGATTTTTATTTTTTTCTCCCAAACTGGAAAGGATCACAGTAGTGCTAGTATATTCCTGTTTCCACTGGCTGGTTATACACGCTGGAAAAAATTAGTTAAAAGAAAGCAATGGAAGACAGAGTTCAGGTCTTGAATGGCATTCTTAAGTCCCCCACAAATAAGTTTGGGTGCTTGCAGTTGTGCCTAAACTTGTTTATTGTAAACAGAGCTGTTAAATCTTCTACCCTCTCCGACCCATTATTTAAAAAATATAAACAACAACAACAACAAAACTTTGGTAGCCTACATTTAGGTAAAAGAAACGAAACCAGTGGGGAGGTGGAAGTGTCCTTTTGTGGTGGAGGTTAGTAGGCAGTACTGGTCTCCTGTCACTTCCCTAAGTCAACAGGAAGGAAATATATGCACCAGGGGCCTCTGCTAATTTGTTTCTAATTTAAGGACAATTAGGCAATTCCTACATCCCCCTAACCGCACCCCCCACCAAAAAAAAAAAAAAAAAAAAAAAAGCAGTCAGAGCTGCACGCTTTCTCTCACCATCCAACGAACTGGTATCCCTCTGGAAATACCAGAGGTTATGAACTTTGTACTAACTTCCAGGGACATCTAATAAATAGAGCGGTGGTCTTGGGACCCAGTCAGTGAGTAAGTCTTCGTTCTGTGTTATACTGTTTCCTTTCTGTGATTTTCTTTTCCACCCCAAAGTTTCCCACTACTAACTCTGAAAATACCTTTAAGATAAAGCACTCTTCGAGCTGTCCTAGTGAAGAATCCTTTCTTGTGACCTTTAGGGCAAGAAATATGTTCCAGGAAAGAAAAGAAAAGACTGTTCCTCCGTCTCCAGATACTCTGGGAAAAACGAAGTGAAAGGGAAAAGGCGCAAACACCAAACTCTCCTTCCCTTTCTCATTTCCACACTGGCAAGTTGTGTTTGCCTTCTAACTTCTCCCGGAAAGCAAGCGGAGCTCACAGCGCCAACCCTAGCCAGCGGGTGGATTATTTACCGGGGGATTTAAACCCGCTCCGGCGCGGGGGCGTGGCCGGGCGGAGCCCCGCGGCCTGAGTGGGCGGGGCGGGGGGCGGGGATCCCGGCGGCTCGGCGCAATGTGAAAAAGACCCGAGCTCGGGGAGTGAGCGCCTGTCTCTTTAAATGCCACGGGCTGCACTCCCGCCCGGGAGCCGGGAGCCGGATCTACAATCCCGTCCCTCCCGCTCCGGTGCTTGTTGCTCGCCCGGCCCGAGCGGGAGCTGTTGCCGCTCGGCTGCGAGGCTGCGGTTTTCTCCTCCTCGCGCCCCACCTCCCCTGAGAGCTGGCTGAGGAGGTGCAGCAGCCCCAGCTGGCGGGAGGAGGCGCGGTGTGAACAGGGATTGCCCCCCGCCTTCAAGTATCGGGGCGCTACGCAGCCGCTGGGGAAAGACATGCCCCCAGTCTACCCGCTGCGCTGCCCTCTGCCCAGCCTTGCTGCCGCCCGCGCCGGGAGAGGAGGGACTGCGGAGCCTACACCTTCAAACTCGCCCTAGAAGTCTCGGGGCGCGGCAGGGAGCCCTTCCCCAGGCCCCACGGTCTCCACCTCTCCGCGGGTGAGTTTGCGCAGGTAACCCGAGCCTGAGGGCGGGCGCGGGGGAAGGGCGGGCGAGCCGGGAGGAGGTAGCGCTGCAGGTGAGCCAGGTAGGGTGACTCACCTGCCCAGGTCGCGCTCTGAGATCCTCGCTTGTTCCTCTGGGGATGGATGCGTTGGTGGGGAGGAGGCGTCCCAGGGGCTAGTTAGGGCCCGAGGGTGGGAGGGGAGGTTAGCAGAGGAGGGGGGGATTGGAGTAAAGTTTCTCTTTCCTTCCCTCTTCCTGTCCAAGCTTGGCAGGTAGGGCGCAGGCGGAAGCTGTAGAAGCTGCTGATGCAATGGGTTTTGCCAGGGCTAGGCGAAGGGCTGGGGACAGGGAGAACTGGAGTTGCCCAGTCTCCTGTGACCGTGACCTTAGAGGTGGAGAAACGAGGGAAAGCTCGCTACATCCGAAACTCCCCCTAAAATGGCTCCAAGTGCTGAGCCCCCGCCGGTTCTTTTTCGGAATAAAACGCCCTTTTCACGGAGGGGCTCCTACATGGCTTTCTTGCCTTCCTCTCCCAACAGGTGGCTTCAGCCCCTGTCCGGGGACCTGTGCAAATGACCCTAGAGGTGGTTTCGCTTTCTCCCCTCGCGGCGGTGTGAACGTGTGTCCGCAGCGTGATGGGCAACCAGGTGGAGAAATTGACCCACCTAAGTTACAAGGAAGTTCCCACGGCCGACCCGACTGGCGTGGACCGGGACGACGGGCCCCGCATTGGGGTCTCCTACATTTTCTCCAATGACGATGAGGACATGGAGCCGCAGCCGCCGCCTCAGGGGCCAGATGGCGGCGGCTTGCCCGATGGTGGGGACGGGCAGCCGCCGCCCCAGCCGCAGCCCTACGATCCGCGGCTGCACGAAGTGGAATGCTCCGTGTTCTACCGGGATGAATGCATCTACCAGAAGAGCTTCGCGCCGGGCTCGGCGGTGCTGAGTACCTACACACCCGAGAACCTGCTCAACAAGTGCAAGCCGGGCGACCTGGTGGAGTTCGTGTCGCAGGCTCAATACCCGCACTGGGCAGTATATGTGGGTAACTTCCAGGTGGTGCACCTGCACCGGCTGGAGGTGATTAACAGCTTCCTGACTGACGCCAGCCAGGGCCGTCGCGGCCGCGTGGTCAACGATCTGTACCGCTACAAGCCGCTAAGTCCCAGCGCTGTAGTGCGCAACGCGCTGGCGCACGTGGGCGCCAAGGAGCGCGAGCTGAGCTGGCGCAACTCAGAGAGTTTCGCCGCTTGGTGCCGCTACGGCAAGCGCGAGTTCAAGATCGGCGGCGAGCTGCGCATAGGCAAGCAGCCCTACCGGCTGCAGATTCAGCTGTCGGCGCAGCGCAGCCACACGCTGGAGTTCCAGAGTCTAGAGGACCTGATCATGGAGAAGCGACGCAACGACCAGATAGGGCGCGCGGCTGTGCTTCAGGAGCTCGCCACGCACCTGCACCCCGCGGAGCCGGAGGAGGGCGACAGCAACGTGGCGCGGACTACGCCGCCTCCCGGGCGCCCCCCTGCGCCCAGCTCCGAGGAGGAGGACGGAGAGGCGGTGGCACACTGATGGGCGAGCTGAGCGCAGAGCTGCGAAGGGGAACTGTTTGCAGTAGCAGCCGCTGCCCCCTTTCTCCCTCTCTTCCTCCCTCTTTTGCCACCGTCTGGGCCCCATCTGGGATTCCTGAGCCCTTTGGAAAAGAGTTGGTGAAATGCGCAGCCGGCTGTGGACGGGGGAGGAGGAAGGGGACAGAGGGAGCAGGTAGGAAACGCTTTAGTTGGGGGTGGGGGGCGTCTCTCTCTGGCCCCCTAAGTGTGTCCTCCTCTCCGCGGTGAGGCAAACTGTGGACTTGCCTGGCTATTAAACCTTGGTAGATCTGGGTTTATAATCGGCCATTCTTAAGCACGTGGGGTTGGGGAAAAGTTCGGAGTACCCATTACTGCCATTGCTTCCTATCCTGGGCTTGGAAGAATCCTGGTACAAAGGCCAGAGTGGGTTTGTGGCGTCGCCACCGCGGTACCAGCACGAAAGCTGCTTATCTGTTTTGGCGGAGCTGAGCTGTATGTGGGATCCAGCGGGGCTGGGGTGATTTATTTTATGGGATTCCTGGAGCGCAGGGCTGGTGAATCCATGACAGGGTCTGGGAGCAGCAGACCAAAACCACAGCAGTCTCCTATTAAGTGTAATAGTTAAGCAAACTCGGGCTACAAAGACTTTGCTACCTCCCTCCTCCACAACCCCCAAGTAATTAGTCTTCTGGAGCTGGCTCTTAGCTGAGGCTCCTGCTACCTCCTGCTCCACCCGCCCCTTCCTAGGTTACAAGTAAATCATTGTCAAGGGCCAGCCAGGAGAAGATTTCAATTAAGATTCTGTTCTGCTGCCTTTGTTTCTCCCCTGCTGTTGTAGGCACTTACAGCTGCGTTGTTACGAAAGGAGGGAATAGCCCTTTGTGTCTTTGATCTAATTAAACCTGCTCGGCTGTGTTCATCCGCAGGGCAGGCCACAGATAGGGTTGGCTGTGCCACTCCATAAAGTATCTATTGTGGAAGCAGCCAAAAAGGACTGCCCTGGCAGGAATTGGTTAATCTCTCCTTCCACTCCCTTTCCTGAATAGTGAAGGGAACCCTTTTAAAACAAGGTTTTGGTGGTAATCCTGTGATTTTTTTTTTTTCTTTCTTCCCCCATCCCTTCACTGGCCCATCCCTCTCACCCTCACTTTTGTTCTGGTGGTGGGTAAAAAATCTTAGGCTGAACACATATTTCAATGGTAAGATACTACTTTTGCTATCCACACTTGATGCAATTTAATTCAAGGTGCAAAGTCTTGTACTGCAGCTGTCTCCTTGTTGCTTGGAGAACACCTCCTTTGGAGCCCTTTGTTAAATAAGAGGGCCGACGCTGATCATAGATGCCACCTGGTTAGTCAGCACCGAATCTGACTTTGGTGACAGTCCTGAAGCACAGTTGGTGATTGTGAGATGTTAGCAGCAGGCTGAGCAGATACTACTTGGTTTTGCTTAGTATGAGATACTATTTGCTTAGTATGATTTTTTATTCCAGCCTGTCTCAAACTCCTGTGAGATCTTCAATGATATGTGCCCTGAGTTGCAACATAGCTTCTCTGCTGCCTATTGCCATTGTTGCCTCAAAAGTTGAGTGAATTTTGAGGTGTCTTTTTTTTTTTTCCTCTCTCGGGAGTCATTATAAACTACTCTGTACAAGTCATTTTGTGATATGATTCTTAACAGTTGGAATAGAATCATAGTTGAGTGGTCCACAGCCATGGCTATCCTCAGGCCTGTTGCCTGGAGATCTCTAAGTTAAGGCAACAAGACTGAAAGGATTTTCTAGTATAGGTGTTTCACACATGGATGTTGAGGCCATAGTCTTTAATAGCTTGGATCTTTGTAGCATCTCAATATGAAAGGGCATTAGCTACGTTCCCTGTTTTTAGAGTGATCACCAAACAGATCTTGCCACTTTGTTAAAAATGAACCACATTCTAGCCCTGGTCTGGGACTGTGGAGGGAGGTGAATTTCTTGTTGGAAATGTAAATCTAGTGTCCATATTTAATACTCTCACAGCTTTGTGTTCTCTTCGCTCATGGAATAGAACAAGATAAACATGGGTTAAAACATTTAGGAGAACCTGCTATATCTAACCGATTTGGATTTTCTTTCATGCTTAACACAGTAGTGAAAATAGAAGGTAGGCCGGGGGCAGTGGCTCATGCCGGTAATCCCAGCACTTTGGGAGGCGAGGTGGGTGGATCACCTGAAGTCAGGAGTTCGAGACCAGCCTGGCCAACATGGTGACACCCTGTCTCTTCCACAAATACAGAAAATTAGCTGGGCGTGCTGAGCAGGTGCCTGTAATCCCTGCTACTTGGGAGCCTGAGGCAGGAGAATTGCTTGAATCTGGGAGGCAGAGGTTGCAGTCAGCCGAGATGGCACCACTGCACTCCAGCCTGGGCAACAGAGCAAGTAGTAATGACCACTGTGTAGACAAGTGGGAGGGAAGAATAGAATGGCACTGTCCAGCTCTGGGCTAGCCAGATCATTTTTCAACTCTCCCACCCGTCTCCTTCCTCTGTCCCAGAATGGCAAGTGATGTATGGTCGGTCACACTGAAGTATAGCAGTGACTGTTATAAGCAAACTGCTCTAAGAGATCTCAGCTTGAAGGAAGAGCTCCTACAAAATCTACATCAGTAGTAGCATATTGAAAACCTCTAGAGAAGAGGTTTTCAACAAAAGGGTTGGAAATGAACTAGAATAGGCAATAGATCTCTTCAGATGCCGCTTTCTCATGTAATGCAAGCGTTTCTACAGGGTACCAGAGGTGTGAAATATGTGACACTTAAAAACAGTGATTTTTATTGGAAATTTTCTTAGGGTTGTAACACTTAAAGCAACAACCAATTAGTAACAGCCACGGGAAAGGGGAATGAATCAACTCTTGGTTCCTTCCTCAAGACGGCAGTGTTGTGGATAAGTGCGTTTGTAATGCCCTGGCAATGGCTACATTTGACACTTTAGAAAAACAAACATATTTAATAATTTTTGTTTCTCCTTAGGAATAAGACTTTAGAACTGTTTTGTACTGTGAATTACGGATGCTCTTTGAAGGAAAGAAATATCAATTCTAATGTTCTTCAGAAGCTGGCAGGGATAAGCAGGACATCGACTGGAACGTATGCTAAATGAAAGCAGACAAATTTCTATTTTCTTACCTGAGCAGATATTTTATTGAAACGCTTCTGTATGTCAAAGGAGTCCACAACTTCAGCTACACAACTTTTTGTATTGAAAGAACTCATACTTTTTGTAGCTTTTATTTCACATTTAATTTAAAATGACTTTTAGCACTAAAATGCCTAGAAGATTTTACTCCAGACCTATAAGGAAATGTTTAGTTTTTATGAAAAATGACAAGTCAGTGGTTAAACTTCTCATGTCTTTGGTGCTTTGGCCCTAATAGCACTGGACAACACCACGACCACATGGAAACATATTTTTGGAAACAAAACTTTAATTTTGTATAACATATGCTATGGAGAGCTAAGAAAATTTAAGGACTATTTGTTTTCTATTTTTTTTTTTTCTTAATAAAATGGAATCCACTGTGTTGAAGACTGTTAATATCATGTGCTTGTCTAACCATTTTTTGTTTTATAAATTAGAATAAAATCTAGTTGTGATTATGGTCATCAAATGAATTTGTTTGGAAAGCTACATCTTATTTGTGAAATGTTTTTTAAATCAGAATAACTATAAACTGATTCAGCTTTTCGTTAAGCTTTGTTCTTGGCTGTAATACTTGTGACTCATGAAGAATTATGTTGACAAACAGGATAAATTCCAAATGCATTTTATTTCCCAGTGAGTCGTATAAACTTTATTTTTGTTGAAGGTTGTATGTTAAATCAATGTTACTTTCTTATATCACTTCTTGAGAAGGAAGTTCCGATTTGAAATTGTATCATTTCCTTCAAAATGAAGGGCAGTGCTTAAATAAAAGATTGATGATATCTTTTAAGCCAT